CCAGCCAGCCAGAGGATGGGGGGAAATCCATACCCAATCCACAACTGCTCTTCAGGATCCTTGAATGGAACAGGAAAGAGGTTGTTGCTGTTGTTATTGTTGTGGGCCTTCAAGTCACGTCTGACTTTATTGTAGGGTTTTCATAGCCAGATTTGTTGGAAGGGAGGTTGCTCTTGCCTTCCTCTGAGTCTAAGAGTGTGTGACTTCCCCAAGGTCCATGATGGAGCAGGCATTTGAATCCTGGTCTCCCTGTGTCCTAGTCCAAAACTCAAACCATTACCCATGCTGGCTCTCACAGATGCCAGCTACATTTATATGCCTCCTTGCCTGACTGCAAGGCATTTTTTATGGCTTTCCTGCACCCCAAAATATCCTTGTCATGGAGAGAGACGGGGCTGCCTCAAAGGGTGGTAGACTCTCCTTCTTCGGAAACCTTTAAACCGAGGCTGGCCATCTTTTGAGAGTGTGTTCCTTGTGTCTTTCTTCATGGCGGGCTTTAGACTGGATGGTCCTTAGGTTCCCTTCAGACTCTTGAGATTCTATGATTTCTTTCATTTTGAGGGATGTATCTATGGGTGGGAGACAAAACAAGAGTGCTCCCCCCCACCCCCATGAAATTTTCCTTCAATCCCAAAACTTCTAGCATTGCAAAGAACGAGAAAATGATAATGCTTCACACTGAGAACTCTTCTCTCGTCTGTGTTGGCATTCTCTGCGTCCCTTGGCTTGCCTCCTTTTCTTTGGATGCCTGAATTCTTTATTTCTTACATGATCAACAGAAGTTGTAAGTTTGAAAACTGAAGGAAAGTTTAATGGGAGGAGATTTTGGGAGGAGGACAACGTCCTCATTTTAAAGTCACTGAGAGAGCTCCAAGGCTCATGATGGGGACTAGAACCTCCTGGGTCCAGTCCAGTGCTGTAACCACTGTCCTAGACTGCCTCTTGCCAGTGTTTTGAATCCGGCACCATCTCTTATCCCGGCTTTCTTCCTAGCAGGGGCCCCCAGAGCGAAGCACAATGTCTCCTTCGGGCGGAAGGCGTCCCCGGCCGCTGCGTCCCCCACCAGTACGAGACCCACACTTTCCAGAGCCGGATGGGGATCCTCCGCACCGTCTTGGCCGTCCAGAGGTGCAGATGCGAGGTCTGAAGGATGGCAGCCCAAATTGGTGCTCCTAAGAATAAGAGGAACGACACTGCAGAGCGAGGTTGAAATAAGAGTCTGCATTCAGCGTCTCCTTTTAGCAGAGAATGTGATCTTTTTGTGAGAGATGGGCAGATGTGTAAATAAAAATTATTTTCAAAGGAAAAGCAGCACTCCTTGAATTTCAAATTTCCCAGTCTGCTGACTAGGGGATTCTGGGAGATGCAGCCCACTGGCCAAGCTGATTGGAGTTTCCTGGGAGATTCATTCTGTTGGCCAAAGCTTGGTAGGGGATTCTGGGAGATGCTGGCCAAGCTGGCAAGGGGGTCCTGGGAATTATCAAAGAGAAGTAACTTTTCCAAGCTCTGAAAACGTTCCAGGTGATTTTCTTGGGAAAGATTCTCTTCCTCCTTCTCCCTCCCAAAGAAACAACCAGCTCCATACAGGCAAATAAACACTTTCCAGTCTGTTTAAATTCCAAATTATTCCTTAATCTACCCCATGCTGACCTGCTGGGAGATTAAACATCCTGAAATCTGGAGGAAGCAGGCGGTTGATCTTGGCCTTCCCTACCTACCGAGCCAAAGGACCGCAGTGGCCCCTTTGGCAACCCCATGGGTGCCATCCTCTGCTCCTTCAAAAAAGCAAGAGAGCTCTGTGATAGGGGAGGAGGAAACTCTTTGGGCAAAGTATTTTATAGGCAAGGCTGCACAAACCTTAGAGGCCAGAAAGCCATCCACAAAGAGGTAGGAAACCTGAGTGTAAATGCGTTTGAACCCACAGTCGCATTCCCAGCAGCCTCCCTGTTTGCAAATGGTAATGTGTCCAGGGAGGGTTGTCAACAGACAGAACAGTAAGCAATCAATGGTCAAACCCATTAGGAAGAAGCTCCTGAACCAGCCCTTTTGTCAGAACCATGAGGACTAGAAACATCAGCGATACCCCAAATACATGGAACGAAGCACCTGATTTGGGAGAACCATCCATTCAGAATCATGAGGACTAAAAGATTTATGAGCAGCCCAAACCCACAGAAAACAACTTTCTGTTTTAAACAATCCCTCTGTTCAGAACCAGGAAGGCTAGGGATTTCAGGGATGGCCCAAACCCACAGAAAGGAAGTCCTATATGAGCCAGCCTTCCATTCAAAATCATGAGGACTAGATACTTTATGAATGGCCCAGCCCCATAGAAAGAAGTGACTTAAGGTGCTATTGAAGCCAGACCTCTCTTCAGAATCACAAGGATTCAAAACGTTTATTTCTTCAGGGGAGGGTATGCAACTCAATGGGCTTCCACGGCTGAGCAGGGATTCGAACCCTGATCTCCAGAGTCTTAATCCAATAGGTAAACCACTGCACCACACTGCCATTTTCTCTGGCTCTGTTGTTGTTGTGTGCCTTCAAGTCATTTCCAACTTATGGCGACCCTAAGGTTCATGGGGTTTTCTTGGCAAGATTTCTTCAGAGGAGGGTTTGCAATTGCTACCCTCTGAGGCTGAGAGAGTGTGA